CATCTCTCTGGCTTCGGTCACAGCCGTGACCACCAATGTGTCGAATAAGAGGTGAGAGAAGGGGCGGCGCCCATAGGAGCCAGGAAGTGACATCTCACACCCCACGGTCCTGATGCCCGTGCCACCTACGCGGAGGGGCCTGGAGAGCCGGGGCAGGCAGAGACATGGCTCTTTAAACACCTGCCTGATATTTTGCCACCTGCAGGAGGCAAAACTCGGGTGGGGGGGTCGTACCACGTGGATCCAAGGAGGGAGGTGGGAAGAGGGTCGGCTGGACAAGGCCTTGGCTGGGATGCTTTGGGGTAGGTTCTGCTTCGAGCAGAGGGTCGGACTAAACCCGGATGGCTTCCTGAGCGCTCTTCCCACCCTCCTCCTCTGGGACTCTACAAGACGCTCGATAGACACACAGCTCACCGCTTTGGGTTTTCTCCCCTTCAAAGGTCAAAGCCTGATATTAAAATGGAGCCCAGCGCAGGCCGGCCCATGGATTACCAAGTAAGTGAGGCCCCCGCCAGCCCTTTCCTGTCCTGGGGCTGGAGGCTGGGGTGGGGCGCAGACGGCCCTGCTGGGAAGAATCAAAGGGGGCAGGGGAGATCAGACACCCTGGGAACATTTGCTCCCGGCAAAGCCTTTATATTTCTAACCTGCTTAGTCTCAGCCCCGGGCAGGAAGTCGGTTGCACCCAGGCTAGAAAACGGGGCACGCCAGCTGCCAAGGGCAGGCTCATGATGCATGTGTGTTTTCCCCAAAGAACATCAGAGTGGCCAGACTGGATCAGAGCAAAGTCCATCCAGCCAGGGGTCCTGTCTGCCTGCAGGGGCCAAAACAGGTGCCCCGGAGGGCGTAAACTGAACAGGGAATCCTCACATCATCCCTCCCCTGACTAATAGCCATCAATGGACCTAACCTCCATGAATTTATCAAGCTCTTTTTGAACCCTGGTAAAGTCCTAGCTTTCACTACATCCTCTGGCGAGGAGTTCCACAGGTTGACTGTGCGCTGCGCAAAGAAAAACTTCCTTTGGTTTGTTTTAAACCTGCTGCCTGTTCATTTCATTGGGTGACCCCTAGTTCTCGTGTGATGGGAACAACTAAATCTCTTTTCCTTATTCACTTTCTCCACACCTGTCCTGGTTTTATAGACCTCTGTCCTATCCCCCCTGAGTCTCCTCTTTTCTAAGCTGAAAAGTCCCCATCTTTTTAATCTCTCCTCCTAGGAGACCCGTTCCAAACCCCTTCCCATTTTTGCCGCCCTTTTCTGAACCGTTTCCGATGCCAAGCTAAAGAAAAGTCTCACACAGGCAGCCTGGGGAAGGGACCTTTGCTAAGGGGAGCTGAGCTAAGTGGCCAGCTCCGGCCCAGCCACTGCCCAGAGGACTGATCCTAGCCCGAATAACCTCAGGTCCATGCCAGGCCAGGGCATGAGGACATAAGGGAGAGCGGTAGCAGAGGTGACCCTGCCTGGAGCCTGCAGCAGGCCGGCACGTACCGCGGAGAAGCCACGAACGTGGCTGTCACGCGGGTGGGGGTCCGTCTCTCCTCCTCCCCAGGTGAGCATCACGGCTGAACATGGACCCGGTGGTGTGCGTGGAAGTGGGGGAAGAGAAGAAATACACCTCCATGAAGGAGTCCACCAACTGTCCCTACTATAACGAGGTGAGCTGGCCTCTCCCCAGTCCCCTCTTCCGGCTCGGCACTGGCTGTCCCCAGTGGGTCCAGGAACAAGCTGACCGGCTTTCTCTCTAGCTGGAGAATGGCCGCCTCGTGCCTAATGGCCAGCACTTGGGATGACGTGCCCCAGAGGCTGGGAGTAGCAGAGGAGTTCACGGCCAGGTTCCAGGCCTGGGTCAGTGCCAAGGGTTCGAGTCCAGGTCAGGGGACAAGTCCCAAATCAAGCGCCGGTTGAGGCCGGTGCATAAGAACTGGTCCTGGCCTCTAGAGGACACGTCCGGGACTGCTCCTTGGGTTTATATAGGACAGGGAGCCAATCAGGAGCCCGGAGGCGGGACTTCCTGTGGCCAGTCACAGCTGCGGCTGGGGGGGGCGCCTCGGGGGGCC